CACTGTGCTGCACAGTCAGTCCCATACAGTCCAGTAGGCACTGTGCTGGAGACAGCTCTGTGAAGACTCACTGGTAGCAGTTGTTGTGGAAGCGGTTGTAACTGCCCAGTGCAGTCAGTGCGCCCAGGCCGATGGCGTAGGAGAAGAAGATCTGAGTTCCGGCGTCGATCCACACCTGCTCACAGACACATGGGTCACACACACCAGCTCCTTGTTCCTTTTCACACTGCTGTGTGATGGGGTGACCCCGCTCTCGGGGCTGGTGGGAGGGGTGTGAGACACACAGGACCCCCCAGGGCGACCCCCTCCCCCACTGACCTGCGCCTCCCCCAGTTTGGACCAGTCTGGTCTCAGGTAGTAGATGATGCCGTCCAGAGCTCCGGGCAGGGTCACGCCGTGAGCCAAGAGCACCACCAGCACCAGGTAGGGGAACAGAGCTGTGAAATACACCACCTGTAGGGGGAGGCAGAGAGCACGAGACAGAGGGAGAGGCAGGGAGAGAGAGGGATGGGAGAAGGAGAGAGAGAGGGAGAGAAATGGATGGGAGAGGGGAAAAAGAAAGAAAGGGGTGAGGGTGAGAAAGAGTGAAGGTGAGACACACAGATGTGGTGTCTGTACCACCAGCAGCCATATCATCCTGCGACTCCCAGCTGGCCGCCCGCTGGAGCTCAGCAGTGGGAGCCTGGCCAGTACCTGGATGGGAGACTCCTGGGAAAGCTGAGGCTGCTGCTGGAAGAGGTGTTAGTGGGGCCAGCAGGGGGCGCTCACCCTGTGGTCTATGTGTGTACTAATGCCCCAGTATAATGATGGGCACCGTCCTTTGGATGAGACCTAAAACCGAGGTCCTGACTCTCTGTTGTCATTAAAAATCCCAGGGCATTTCCAGAAAAGAGTAGGGGTGTTACCCCAGTGTCCTGGCCAAATCTCCCCCTGGTCTTTAACAGTCATGGCCTCCGAATAACCCCCCTCTCTGAACAGGCTCCATCACTCTGCTCTCCTCCTCACTGAGAGCTGGTGTGTGGGGAGCGGACTGGAGCATCATCCAGGTGGGGGTACACACTGGTGGGGGTGGAGGGGATCCCCATTACCTGTACTGCGCTCTGACCGGAGTGTCCAGAAAAGCGCTATAGAAGTGTAATAAATTATTATTAAATTATGAATTATTATCATCATTACACTGCCTTTTTAAAGTTCCCCATTCCTCCCCATCAGCCACCTCTGTACCCAGCAGCAAGTCTTTTTGTCTCCGAGACGCTGGAAGGGATTTAGCAGATCCAAAGATGAAAAAAACGTGGAAAAACAGACTCACACCAAAACGTTCCTAATCGGATTAGTGCGCAGACCTGAATGGAGCTCCTTGTTCAGGAGCGCACGGTCTACAGCCTCTGCTGGGAGGTCAAGGGGGAGACTCTGTGGGGTGGGGGGCAGGTTGGGGTAACGTGGGGTTCACTGGGGTGCGCGAGCGGAATGTCATTAGAGCACGCTGCCCTTTACCAACCACACACTGTGAAGAGCAAATTCTCCTGAGGCTCCACACAACGCGTCTGCTAAACTTCCAAACACACTGTCCCTGTAACACCCCCACTCTCCCTGTCACCCCCACACACTGCCCCTGTACCCCCACACACTGCCCCTGTCCCCCCACACACTGCCCCTGTCCCCCCACACACTGCCCCTCATCTCCCTCACCTTGCCTGCAGACTTCACTCCCTTCCACACACAGAAATAGACGATGACCCAGGTGGCCAGCAGGCAGAGTGTCATCTGGCCATTAATCTGGCCTGGCTCGTCCAGGCCCCCTGACAAGCGCAGCACCTTGTGTCTGAGAGACAGACAGAGACGGGGACACGGTCAGGCAGAGAAACAGACAGACAGACAGACAGAGACTTGTCCAGGCAGAGACAGACAGACAGGCTGGGACACAGACAGAAGGACAGACAGGGACACAGTCAGTCTGAGACACAGAGAGACAGACAGGGACACAGTCAGGCAGAGACACGCAAGCAGACAGAGACATGTCCAGGCAGAGACACGCAGACAGACAGAGACTTGTCCAGGCAGAGACACGCAGGCTGACAGAGACATGTCCAGGCAGAGACACCCAGACAGACAGAGACTTGTCCAGGCAGAGACAGACAGCAGGTGAAGGGGGAGTACTCACTCCCAGAACTCGATGATGGGAGAGCGCCGGCCCTCCATCTCCTCGCAGCTGGAGTTGGGAGGGAGGGGCAGCAGGAGGGACAGGTTGAGGTCGGGCGGTGCCGAGCGGTTGGCACAGGACCCCTGTCCTCGGAAGACCTGGGTGCAGTTGGCGGTGTTCCAGGGGTGGCCGCAGGTGGCCCAGGGCAGGGGGTCTGTGAAGGAGTGCAGCAGGTAATACAGACCCCACACCAGGATCATGATGTAGTAGGTGTTGCAGAAAAAGACGATCACCATAGAGGCCAGGCCCAGCCCTGAGACAGAGACAGGAGAGAGGGAGGAGAGAGGAGAGGGGGAGAGAGGAGAGAGGGAGGGAGAGGAGAGAAGGAGGAGAGAGGAGAGATTCAGGAGATTCCTTTAAGAAGATTTCAGCCGTGAGTGCTGTTGTGTGTGATTGGAGTTTAATTTGATGTTTTTGCTATGTATAGAACTGATGCAAAGGAAATGTGACTTCAGCGGAGTGTTTATAAAACTGCATCATGATTGTGAAAACATGTTAATACGTTTGTTACAAATGGCTAAATGCATTACAGTCTGTTTTTTAACTGACATTAATGCCATATTCTGTAGCTTGTGCCACATGGACTTTCTTTTGCTTTTATATTAGTATTGATACAGATGTTCCTACTGTTTCTGCCCTGTGTGCATCTCTTTCTGTGCTACCTGTAAATTTATATATGCGAATATCTTGCACATTCCATCTCACTGAACTTTATCTCCATGTGATAAAGTAGACAGCCACTCACCACCACCATAGACTTGCATCCAGAGCCCAGGACTGTAGCTGCAGCAGCACAGCGCCCCCTATCCCTGTGGAGGAGTTACCTTTGAAGAGGGGAGCGATGTTCCAGGCGGAGGCCCCTCCTTTCTTCATGAACTGCCCCAGGGCGATCTCCAGGAAGAACACAGGTACCCCTCCGATGAACACGATCAGCATATAGGGGATCAGAAACACGCCTGCAACATGCAACACACACCAGCTGTGTCTGGTCGCTGTGTGAAATGATAGCTACTATTATCCAATAAAACATGCATTCATTTAATTTACTAGGCTAATTCATTCAACATTTAGAAATATATTTCATGATCAGCAAACCAGTACTAGAGGACCCATCCTGCACGTTAAAGTTAAGGATGTTATAAGGATACATAGCCTTTTGGGCTGGGGGTAAAGGTCAGGGGTCAGGGTCAAAGGTTAGGGGTTAGGTTTAGACATTTTAATTTTCCCAGCCAAATAATGAACTGGAGCTCCGTCCTTACTTTTAAAAGAGAGAAAATAGGGGGAGAGAGAAGAGAGAGACAGGAGGAGAGAGAGATGGGGGGAGAGAGAGACAGGAGGAGAGACAGGAGGAGAGAGGTAGGAGGACACAGAGACAGGGCGAGAGAGGTAGGAGAGGGAGAGACAGGAGGAGAGAGACAGGAGAGAAAGAAAGACAGGAGGAGACAGAGAGACAGGAGGAGAGAGGTAGGAGGACACAGAGACAGGAGGAGAGAGGTAGGAGGGAGAGAGAGAGACAGGAGGGGAGAGAGGTAGGAGGACACAGAGACAGGAGGAGGAGAGACAGGAGGAAAGAGAAATGACTGCTGTCCTTGAGAGAGGGTGTGCGGGGGCATGGCACTGTGGGCAGGGGGTTCGAGCTGCTGAAAAATTTCCCGGAATTCTGTATCTGTTTGTTTCTGGGGAGGACACATCCCTACCCTGCGACGTCAGGACCAGCAGGGAGGACAGAACAGGCTGTCTGCTCAGAGCAACACTGTGACCGGCGGGACAGGCGACAAGGACAGAGACTGGGCGGTCAGAGAGAGAGGCTGTCTAGAGCAGCACTCACCCACTCCAACAATCTCTCCTGCACTGGGGAGAATCCACAGGCCCCAGCACACTGACCTTATAAGGGCAAACAACTGCGGAGAGGGACAGAGAGGAGGGAGAGAGAGGAGGGAGAGAGAGGAGGGAGAGAGAGGAGGGAGAGAGAGGGAGAGAGATGAGGGAGAGAGAGGAGGGAGAGAGAGGGAGAGGGACAGAGAGGGAGGCAGAGAGAGGAGGGAGAGAGAGGGAGAGAGATGAGGGAGAGAGAGGGAGAGAGATGAGGGAGAGAGAGGGAGAGAGATGAGGGAGAGAGATGAGGGAGAGAGAGGGACAGAGAGAGAGAGGAGGGAGAGGGACAGAGAGGGAGGCAGAGAGTGGAGGGAGAGAGAGGGAGAGAGAGGAGGGAGAGAGATGAGGGAGAGAGAGGGGCAGAGAGAGAGAGGAGGGAGAGGAGCCAGAGAGAGGGACAGAGAGGGAGTAAATGTCTGTAGATGTTGTATATGATTTGGCAACACTGTAGTTTACCGGTCGTGACATTATAGCTGTTGAACTTGAATTTGAGAGAGCGAGGGAGAGAGGGAGGGGAGGGACAGAGAGGAGGGAGGAGGGCGCAGTCGGTCCAGGGCCAAACTGAAGTCATTTCCATCCCGGTCAGCAGCTGCACCATTAGAGAGGCGCCCTGTCATACTCTGTCCCCTTTCAGAGAGAGGGGAGGAGGAGGGAACAGGAGAGCAAGAGTGACAGAGAGTGAAACATCCTCCGTGTGCAGAGAAAAACTCCTAACAACGCATGCAGGGCCGAATTAGGCCAGTACCCACTGTTGATAAACATCCAGAAGAGAGCAATAAAGTATTGGCTACACCTAAAAAACAGCGACCAAAACTCCCCTGCTGAGCCAAGAGCTGAGCCCAACAAAGAGTCCTCTGAGCCAGCTGTAGATGTACAGTAAATGTCTGTAGATTTTTGTTTTCTGTTAACAGTATTTGTTTTGCTTTGGCAGCACTGATTGTACTCATCGGTCATGCCAATAAAGCACCTGGAATTGAAAAAAGTATTGAGAGAGTGAGAGGGACAGAGAGTGATGGAGAGGGGCAGAGAAATAGAAATAAAAGAGCAAACCCCAGAAAAGAACAAGAAAGCCAGGGAAGGGAATTCTCTGGACAAGATTATAAGGGTGACAATGCAGCAGGAGATGACAAATGAACAAACTAGATGCAGGAAAAAGACATCCCGTTATTTCTTTCTTTGGCTCTAGCAGCGCCCGAGGCTCCCGAGAGGCTCATTGCACGCGGTATTGGATCAGACAGCTCCGAGATCTGCTGAACTGCAGGACACCGCCTCCACGCCCCCCATCCCCGGGCCAGGCCGTGCCAACTGCAGGACACGCCCCCCCCGGACACACCCCAACCCCAACCCCACCCCCAGGGACACTGAGATTCGGCCTGGTTACCGATGGCACTGAGATTCGGCCTGGTTACCGATGGCACTGAGAGTCCGAGGCCAAGGAAGCAGGGAGTGAGTGTGTTGGCAGTGTTTCTGCCTCACGGCCGCAGGGAGTGGCCAGGCAGCGCGGGGTTTCTGGCTGGGCAGTTTATCTGCAGGAGCGACTGCAGACGTCAACTGTGCTGTGGGGGAGTGCGGCGAGTCTGCGCTGTCCCGGGAGCTGGGCTACGTGCGTGCCGACACTCACCACCCCTCCTCCAGCCCCCAGCTCTCCCTGTCCGCCCCTCCGGCTCACAGCTCGGAGCATTCCCACCCTCCCCCCACCTTCCTGCTCCTTCTGCCCCGGCCCCTGCCTCCGTGTCCCCACCCTGTCCACCTCCGGGGCTGGATCTATCCCAGCACTGCCCCGGAGGGGTAGTGGAGGAGGGGGAGAGGGGTCACCCCTGCTCAAATCCCGGAAGACAAAAAACGTTCTGCTTTCGACGTGTTAGAGCAAAGCCACAGAACACACATTTGATCAGGACCCTCCAGACCCCGGATAACTCCCTGTCCCTGCTCCTCTCCCACGTCCTGTCACCTCCTCTCCCCCCCCCGGCCCTCCCCTCGCTCTCTGCACCCTGCGCGCCCGGGGCCTCAGGGCCACACCCCAGCGGGATCAGGAGGGCAGCGACAGGTGCAAATTCGGGAAACGAGGAGAGCTGGGGCGCGTGCACTGCGCTGGAGGGAGCGAGCCGGGTTCGAGGGGTCAGGGGTCAGGGGTCAGGGGTCAGCGCACACATGCGGGTGCAGGCCCGCGCCCTCACCTCCTCCGTTCTTGTAGCACAGGTACGGGAAGCGCCACACGTTGCCCAGACCCACGGCGAAGCCCACGCAGGACATGATGAAGTCCATCTGCCGCGCCCAGGTCTCCCGCTCCGCCCCGCCGGGGCCCCCCCCCGCGCCCCCCTCCCCCGGCGCGGGGTCCACGAGGGGTGTCACCACCGCCTGCTCCTCCTCCTCGCCGGGCAGCGCGACACTGCCCCCTGCTGGACACCGAGAGCGAGAGCGAGAGAAATCAGGAGCAGGGAGAGGCCGGGGCTGATGGGAAGCGCTGGGGTGGGGATAGTCTACGTGCGGACAGGCTTCTCGAACCAGGAACTGGATCTCCCGCCTCAGAGCATCCCGTCCCAGATTCTGGCTGCTCTTCTGAGCGCTTTGTAATTAAGAGCTGGGCCTCTCTGCACAAGCACAAGCACAAACACAGACACACACTCCCACAGAGGCAGAGAGACTCAAGGACTGGCCCGAGGCTGAAGGCTCTGATACAGACACACAAGCACACACGCACAAACGCTCAAAATCATATACACACACACACATTGCACACACACACACACACACATGCACATGCAGACACACACACGCATACACATATCCTGGGCTCACAGAGTCGCGCTCACACACGTGTGCACATATAGAATGGTGAGCACACACACACACGTGTTAAGCCGCCAGCGTGTGGAAACTGCCCCAGGTGCAGGACGTGTGCAGGACTGCTGACAGGTGCGCTCGGTCGCTGACCGCAGGCCACAGCTCTCGGCCCCAGACCCCAGGGCTGAGCACAGACACCACGTGTGCTGGTGCTGGGCAGGACCACCAGCGGGTATAAAGAGGTGGAGGCACACAGGTGTCGACTGACGGGTTCATGTTTAAATCCATCCCTCCATTTAAATCCACAGATCTGTCCAGTTCGGGGTTGCGGGGGAGCTGGAGTCTATCCCAGCAGGCCGCAGTGCAAGGCAGGGCACACCCCGGGGCGGGACGTCAGTCCGTCACAGGGCACGCGCACACAGTCAGCCCAGGGCCAATTTTTTTTTCCTCCACAGTCCAATTAACCCGCCAAGCGGCGTGTCTTTGGACGATGGGAGGAAACCAGACCGCCCGGAGGGAATCCGCCCGGAGGAAAGGTGGGGAGAGCATGCAAACTCCACACGCACAGCAGGCCGGGTCCGGAACTGACCCCGGGGCCCCAGCAACGCGAGGCAGCGATTCTCGCCCCTGCGCCGCCCGAGCAAGCAGACCACCAGGCGAGCTGTTGAACTGTCTGGCTCAGGTTGGAGCACAAACCAGTGGACTCCAGTGCCCCCAGAACCGGGCTGGAGCTGGATGTGCAGCAGGTGCGCTGTGGCCTGCCAGGACAGCTGACCCAGGCCGGACAGCAGGCCAGCGGGTGAGGACGACCTGCCCAGAGGACGGAGAGGACAGCCGGTACCGTGAGACGATTTCCTCCTCCCGGGCGCTAAGCAACTTTCTCACGGCCGACGGGCGGGTCATTTCTAGCTATATATATAAATACAGTGCCCAGCAAAGAGGGGAATTCTCTCTCTCTCTCTCTCTCTCTCCCGGGGGCTGGAATCCCACGAGACGAGGGTTAAGGAGATCAGCTCCCCCCGGGACCTGCGGCACTGCCGACCTTCTCGATTAACGTATAAGACTCGAGCGAATCGCAGAGGAGCGTCCTGGGAATTTTTGTAATGAGTGTTAAGGCTCATGGGAGCGAGATGGGTGGCGATCGCTATTTAAATAATAATAATAATAATAATAATAATAATAATAACCACTTACCCGGACTGGGATCTTCCATCTCCGGAGACGTGATCAAGCGGATTTCCTTTCCTGTCCTTAGAGGTTGTGGTTTCAATCGGCGGTTTATGTGTATGTGTCGCAGACTCCACTCGCGTTTTATTTCGTATTTGATTATTTTTGTATAATTATTTTTGTATTATTTTGCGGGCGTGTGGGGTGGTGGGGGGGGGGAGGTTAATTCAAAAGCAATCGACAAAGCACTTGAAGGTGAGTCTGAAGAATCGCATTGATGAGCCTGAGGGGCGAGGAAACAGCAAGTCGGAGACGGCGGAGGTGCGCGGCGCTCGGAGTCTGCTGGACCGGCACGGCGCGGTGCCCCGGGAAGCGGTCCGTCGCTCAGCTCTGACCGGGAATGCGAGCTCGTCAGCCCCGCAGATCAGTCACACCGGCCTCACCCCCCCTCTCTCCCGCACCGCCCACCGGAGTCCTATTGGCCAGTCCCCGTGCGTGTCTGAGCACCGCGCCGCATCACCGCAATCCTCTCACACAGACACACACTGGCACCTACACACAGACACACACAGACACACACTGGCACCTACACACACAGACACACAGACACACACAGGAACCTACACACACAGACATACACTGGAA